TAAGGGACACTTTCAGCTTCCCAAACTCTGTGGTGTCAAGCTTCCTCATACTGAGTCACTGCCCATCTGATCCAATTTGCGGAGCGCATGACTCTGTCGAGGACGAAGAAGAGGTGGAGGACTCTTCGTCTGACTCCTTTGTCTTTGGGAGTTTAAAACATTTAGCGCACAACTTGCGATCTGTGGGACGTGTGTCCGTGAGATCGTAGTCGGCGTGGTGCCTGGCAAACGGCCAAGAACATGCAGCTCGCCACAAGTAGTGGGGCAGGCGTGGACCTGAGCGACCCACTTTGTGAACCTTCCCGTCCGGAGCAAGGTTTACGACGAACAAAGGGCATGCTGGCACAGGTACGTCAGGTACCAAAGTGTTTGCGGCTTCGCAATCGGCTAAGATTTCAATCTCTTGCGCGGTGAAGTCTGTTGTAGCCGTGCGATTTGCAGAATCCGGCACTTTGGCAAGAATGGCGCGAGTTCGGCTCTTGCAGCTGCCAGGGAGTCTGCGAAGTAGCCTCCCGTGCGAGGCCAAACAAGTGAGATAGCGGTGCTTCACGGACGTACCGAAAGAAGCAATCCGATCCCCATCGACCAAAGAGCTGTATACGCCCCAGTTCAGTGAGCGTGTGCGCAAGGTGTATGGCACCTGTGGCTCTGGCCGAATGACTTCAAACCTCCTGAGGCCTGTGTCCGTGAGGATGGGAAGTTTGAGCTGTTTGCCCAAATGCTCAAACGTGTCGGCCTAGCCGGCTTTGGTCGATGTAGACCCGTCCGGTTGTGGTAGGAGGTGAAGAAAACTGTGGCGTTTGCACCATTCAACTTGGGCAGACATGCGGTGAAAGGGACATAGGCGGTCTTTGCTCTTTTCACTGCACGTGTACACGTGGGTTCTGACGGCTCCCAGAGCTTGCCAATCTGCTTTGCTAGATGGAAGTTTCCAGTGTATCAGACCAGTGCTGTCATCTACCGTGACGTGGGACACATTGGCATAGCTTGCTTCGATTTCTCGAAGGAGCCACCACGATGCCAGCAGTGTTGCCCGGACAGGAAAAGCTGGGCCCCCCATGTGCAATAGCCGGCTCGGTGTGCTGCAGTGCTGCCAGTTTCTTCGTTGGCAGGGGTTGGGCTTGCTTGGCAGGCCCGCGGCCGCGCTGACAAGCTCGCTTGGCTTGTTTTGCTGCCAGGTTGACCTGCACTGATATGAGCTGGGCGGGCAGTTTCCAGATACTGTTCTGTCGAGCTATATCCCGCTTTGTCTAATGCCCCTGTCACTGTGAAGATGAGCTGAGGTGTGAGCACGGACGGTGTCGAGAATCCAGCTGCCGATGCTATTGCCGCCCAGGTTTTCTCATCAAATTGAATGGGCAAACGCGATGATTCAGCTTTTGGCTCGCTTTCCAATGTGTTCTGCGCACTCGTTTGGGTGCAGTGTTGCTTCGTGAAGAGCCAACTTCAGGGAGCCCCTGGAGTAAGGTTTTGGCTCCAGACGGTGGCTCTCCTCCTGCATGGTTGTGCCATGGCTTGGTGGTGCGTGGCAAACCACCGGGCCTTCGTCCAATGGCCGCAAACCTTTCGGTTGAGCCTGGGCTTCTGGCCTCTTTTGGATCGTACAGGAATCGTGAGGGACCCAAAGAGCGTTTCATGCTTGAGCCATCCCTATCACGTCCGCCACTAAGTTTCTTGAGCACGATCCGCTTTAGGAGCTGTTTGACCCGTTTTGTTTGTGTGTGTGTGGATTTGACCAAGCACACAAAGGACTCCCGCGCTTTTCTTTTCGAAGGGTTTGAGCGGTCTCGGGGAGAAGCCAAACTCAGGACCTACTTCAATGGGAACGCGTGTTGCGCCCTGAAGGTTCTCAAGAAAAGGTGGAGGATTGGGGTCATGTTGTCGACTGCGAGGGTCTGCAGTCTTGTTCAGCTTGGTGTTGATGTGTTGGAGTATGGTGAACTCGTATTTCTCGTTCGCTTGGTCCAGTGCTATCTTGCTGGCGACCATCGACAGTTCTGGGGAGCTGGCCTTGCCCTTTGCAATGATGTAGAGGGCGCCAATGTTGTCTGCCTTGACACGTACCACTGACCCAGTCGGGTGTTTGGTGAGCCACGTCCGAGCGGCTAAAAGTAGGCACAATGCTTCCCAGAGTCATGTGTTTCGGGATGCCAGGGATTGCCCCAGTTCGGAGGATGAATTCCGGTGGGATAGGACACGAAGAGAATTCTTTCGGTTCACCTCGTTCCAGCACAACTGCACCCAATCCCCACGTGGAGGCATCCGTAAGGATGATCACTCCCGAGGCCGGACGGAACGCCCGAAGAGTGCGCGCCAGCGGAGTCTGTTTTCCCTCCAGCACGGCTCTGATCCATTCTAGGGCGTGCCTTATGCGGCGAGTGTGCACAACATTTCTGGTTCTAAGGTTAGAACCGTCATTCGTTGTGGCAAGCACTGCCCACAGGGCTCCCAGAAACGGACGCATGAGCGGCGTAATGCCTGCAACGAAGGATAGAGCTCCCGCTAGAGGTTGTAGCTGTTTTCTTCCTACAACCGGTTTTGCCTTTAACAATTACACCCAGCTTGTTGAAGGTCGGTTCGATTCCTACCTTGCACGTTGCCTCCTCGAGCGAGTCCGAAAATGAACAGAATCCTTTGTCCAGCGCATCACGAACAAGTTGGTTGAGGTCTGATTCAAATTCGTTGGCTGAAGGATGATTTTGCCAGCCTTCAAATTCTCTGGCCAGGAGTTTGGCTGCTTCAAGTTCCCACTTCATCGACTCCACCGGCGGGAATATGCCTGTGTTTGGAATAGGTTCCGAGAAACCCAGTGGTGCCCCGGTGTGTAACCAAGAGGCGAGAGTCACTGAGTCCGGATCCCCCGTGGCTTTTCCCCATGCCCAGAAAATCTCGGGTTGAAGTGGGGTACGTGCCGTGGCCGACCAAATGGGTAGACCCTCGATGTCGTTTCCCAACACTTCTAACTCCGAACTTCTCAAGTGGTTAATGAGACGTGAATCCAGTGGTTTTGCCGCTTCGCCGTTTAGGAGGTGGTCAACCTGACTGAGAACGGATTCGTGTGAAGAGTAGTTCTCCTATAGCGTTTCCAAAATGTAGTGATTTTGGTATCTTAGCGGCTGATGTAGCTGGGTTTCGCATTCCTCCTATTGCTGCCTAGTCTTCGATATCTCTGAGCTTCTGAGCTCTATCCAGCAATCGCGGCCCGTAAAAAATTGCCGCGCCCTCAGCTTCGTGAGGGTGCATGCTCTCCTTTCAGAGCAGTGAGCATAGCCGTTGCTCTGGACATGCTGACACTCACTGTGGCTTGGGCCAATGCGTAGTTCAGCTGTGGAGGATACTCTGCCAGTGCTTTGCTGGCTCTCTCCTTCTTCCCCTCGTCGTTTGTTCTCCATCTCTGCGCCAAGGATTCGTGTGGTGCTTTGTAGGTGGAGCCGTCCGTTCTCGTCCACTGTTGAACTGGGTGGTTGCATCTGAGGTCTCCGATGCCCCAAAAGTTCATGTGGAACGACATCAGCTTCGTGGGCTTCCGAACTTCTGCTCCAAACCTACATTGGTCAAATTCGGTGATCCATACGTTGAACTCTCTGACGAGGAACTTCAGGGGAGTGGTCTTCCATAGGTCCAGCTTGTCTTTGTGATCTGGGTTCTCGATCCAGAAGGCCCTGCCCGCTGTAGCTTGGATTTCCGCAAGCCTTGCTGATAGCGCGATGAGGCGGTTTGCCTCCTTGAGCTGAATCCTTTCACTTTCGGTCAGCTCTTCGCTTGGCAGCCCATCTGGCTTATCCAAAGATCGCAGAGGTCTTGGGCCTGGAGGTGATTCCCTGAGCGGTGATAGTGTTTCACACGGGGTTGCACATCCCACCACGTCGTACATGCCGGTTTCCGTGTCGGCTAGGATCTTGTCGAGGTAGTGCTCTGACGGCACATCGGTGGGCTCTGGCGCCACCTTGTCGACGATGACCACGATCCATCCTTCTGCTCCGAGGTAGCTAGCCAAGTCCCCGGGTCTGCTCTTGCCGCTGAATACCAACAGGCATCTCGGTTGGTCAGCCCACAGTTCCGGTTCCAGGTTTGTACAGCCGTACCTGTACTTGTGCCACCTCGTCACTTTGGGAAGGTCTCCCACGGAGGAGATGTTCTTTGCAGTGATCCACAGGGGAAAGTCGCTGATCCTTCTCTTGATGGGTGTTTTCGACCGGCTCCTGCGACGGGATTTTCTCCTGCTTCTCGACCTGCGGGTCTCACGATCGGGTTGGCTCCCGCTAGGGTGTGAATCACTGCCACGCCTTGGCGGGGGGCCAATTGGTGATGCTGGCCTCCTTTTGGATTTGTCTCCCTCTGGCTTGGGCGTAGGCGGAGGAGCTGGCTTTGATTTTGCCGATGTCCCTGGTGTGGCCGGGTCTGTCCCGGGAGCCGTAGTCAGCGTGGTGTTTCCACCTTCTCAGCTCTTCTGTCGCTTGCCTCCTGTGCACTTCGTGGCCATATGCGGGCCAAGACAAAGGTTGCACTGATGGCTGCGATTGTTTGGGCATCGGGATTGTGCTTTGCCATTGCCGCATTGATCGCGGTTGAACTTCTGACAGATCTGTACCCCCCTCCGGTTGAGAGAGAAGGCGCCAGCTTGCCCGTCCCAGTACGAAAGGTCTTCACCGGCGTACTTCCTCTTCTTCTTCTTCGGAGGTTGATCTGGTCCGACTTTCTTGCCTCCTCGGTCTGAATCGGATGAATCCCCGTCCTGTCTGGCTGGCAGGGATTTGTTCCGGGCTAGCAGTAGGGTTGCTGGTGTCACGACTTCTTTGGTCCAAAAGTCTCCTTCTTTGACAGCCTGTGCAAACACTGCTGACCAAGGGCTTGCACGGGTGTAGCCATGGTTCGGGTTCTCATCCAAGGCTCGGCGTATCCTGTCCTGAAACTCGGATCTCATACGCACGTCAGCCCTATAGATGATCCCCCAACATTCATGGCCAAACTGCCCATGAAGCTCTTTGATGTGATCTGCATACGCGTCCAAACGCTCTGAATCGGCTGCCTCCAGGAGAAGCAAGGCCGTCTTGAATGTGCGAAAGGACTTCTCCCAGTTGAAAATCGAGTCAGGCCCTGGGGCTTCGCGCTTGGACCACTCTCCTGTGGCAACATTCAGCACGTAGGAGGTGAACACTGCTTTTCTCAGTTGTCGGAGTCCGTGTGGTCCAAACACACTGAAATCGCAATACGGCAGCGCGCCACATCGCAACATTTGATTGATACCCGACAGTTGGTCTGCCGAAGGTTCCACTTCTTGGCTTGGATGGTCCCCGAACTTTGCCTTGTATGTACTATACATGCGTGCCACTTCTGACTGCTCTAGCTGAAGAATCTCAGCATCCAGCGTTGGGTCGATCACGCTGCTCAGTTTCAGCTTCCTCGTGGGAGAGGTTGGTGTTGAAGTACTTGGCAAAGGTGAGACTCCGATGGACCCTACTGGCGGTGCGGTTGACGATCCAACGTGATCTGGATTTGCACCAAGCCGAAGTAAAGTCACCCTTCGGAATATCTCGATTCGAGAAGCCTCAACTGGGGTGAGGTCTCTTTCACTGGTGGTTGTGCCCGATGAAGTATCGATCTTTAACCCTGCCACCACGTTGTCCCAGACCGTCCGGTTGATGAAGGCAATGTCCCGCAGTTTTGAGGGCTTGCCCAGAGCATCCATCAAATGTTCGTGGACTTCTCCAGTTGTGCCGGCCCAGTCTGCAACATGCTGAAGGGTGGCCATATTATTGAGCTCTGCGTCGGTGGGGTCCATGGCTGATCACAGGACCTTCTCTCAACGGGGTGAGCTCCTGGTCGAATTGGATCTGCCTCCTGGCAGATGCTTTTGGGCTTGCCACCGCAAGCCTTGCCCTTCGTAGGGTTGTAGGTGTGCCCTGCTCGGTGTTCCGCAAAGAGTAGTTGCGGTAGTTGGAGAAGGCAAGGCCTATGAGGCGGCGACGAGACACAAACCTTATGGCCTTCCTGGTGAGGATGGCCCAAGGTGTGTCACCCACTTGGAAGCGAGCTAGTGGGTTGACCACTTTCCACACGGCCCAGATGGAGTGGGCTTTCCACCCGATCCAAACACCCACCACCAGGACGCTCACGAGCACCCCGATGATGAGTGACCAGATGCCCAGATGGTTTCCCACCTGAGGGCCTGGCACCAGATCGAAGGTGGCCTCTCCCCACCTAACCAAATGGGCCATAAACGGAAAGGATCAAACCCCACAGGCTCTTGAGCCAAAATGGCCCAAACGAGCTGCGGATGGTAAGTCCCTCCCACAACTCCCCTTCTGATTATGTCTATTGTTACTTTCACAATTTCTTTGTTACACACCATCCACCACCAGTTTGTGGGGGGGGCGAACACATCACGCCTTCAATCGCGGTCTCCGCGTCTGGTCTCCAATCGAGTGGCGCAGATCTTCATCCAAGTAGGCGGTCTCGAAGATTCCTCGGGCCCGATCACCCAGCAGGGCAAAGGGCACCTGAGCAGATAGCTTCGGGGTGGCAAAGCACATCGCCACTGTTGGGCTTCAAGAGCTGTGGAAATCGGGTCGAACCCAAAGGAAGTCCATGGCAAAATGATTGCTCTGGAAGATTCTGGAAGATGTTTTTCGGGATGTTGAGAGCATTCAAATACCTCCAAGATGTCCTCCCTCTAAATCCGAGCCACCTCCTAGACTGACATCACCTTCATCCCACCTCCAAAGAAATTGCTCAAGCAGCGAACTCAGCGGCGAAGGTACAACTCATATCAACTCATAGCTTGCCAAGGCACAGGATAAGGCAAACGAATGGGTTTGGGCAGATCCTCTTGAGACCATGGGGGCCTCTTCACAATGATCTGCCCGCCCGTCCACTGAAAGCGCACCTCGGCCATCGAGAGAGAGAGGGAGAGATCAACCAACACCATACCGTCGCAACACTGGAGTTTCTGAGAGGGTCTTGTAACCTATCATTGCTGTTTGTTTTCCCCTGGCAAGTGTGGTCAAAAACGTCAAGTGGAGGAAGGCATTCCAGCATTCCTAGTCCGTTCTGCTTTACTTTTGGCCAGTGGCGTCTGCATCTTGCGAAGTCAGGTCAGCTTCCAGGCAAATGATGCCCGCAGGGGTGGCATCAATGACATTGTACCAGCGCTTTGGCGAGACGGACCTCGGCAGCCCGGACGCGGTAGCCGAGGTCCCAAGCGTCCTTGTGGCAATACATCCTTCTTAGAATGTAGGGGGCGTGAAATGTCGAACTTGCCACACCACTCCGGGCAAAATGCACATTAAAAAAAACTGCGCGGCCAAGTGGCAAGTCGAGGACCTGGTAGACCTTCTGAACAGCATTGTTCGTAAAGGCTGCAGCCTGTACAGGCGAAGGTCCTTTGCCAAAGACATACTCCTGGGGGCGAAGAGGTCCCGACGCACCTACTTACCGTCGCGTGTGCGGCGCGTTGGTTCGGAGATGGGCGGAGTCCCGGCCGTTCAGAACACGGTGGACTGGATACGTGGAGCGCGGTGGACTTCTTGGAGGTGTTGAACCAAACAGAGGCAAAGCTGACGTGGTGTCCTCAGTTCCGGGACAAGGCCACCCACAAAAGGGAATCTTTTGCAGTTCAATCCAGTGCTGGCTGACTGGCTTAATCACCGTTCAATCCAGTGCTGGCGTTCACAATGCCCACCGCTTTTGGATGCCGTTGCTCACAATGTGTCATGGCCTTGTGTTTAGGGGAGGCACTGGGGGCGACTGGTCGGAAAAAATAAAATACATAGCGGCCATAGCAGCACACGGGGACTGCAATCTCCACAATAAATCTGCTGATGAAGGGCTGTATTTTTCAATTCGGACACGGTTTTCTATCCAAGACCCTCAAGTTCAAACACGCCAACAAACAAACCAACCCACCAGTCGCACTCCAAACCTTGCCGGGAAAAAGTCTCCTGCCAGCTTTTGAGGCTGAAGAGGTTGGCTGCAGCCTGTCCTGGTGTGAAGGTGCTGAGCAACTGCCTCAGTGTTAGGTCGTGTGCCACTCGCGCACCACTCACAGGCAGGGGAACGAAAAATTTCACGGCAAGTGGTCTGCTTCAGAAGGCCTCCGGAAGTTCCATGGCCTCAAAAACTGGGAAACATGCGTGCGCCAACGAGAGTGGCAGTGGTTTCAGTGGATCTTTTTGGGCCTGTCTGGTGTATGGTGCGCATCAGGGTTCCCCAACACGAGGAAGGATGCAGTACGTGTCCTGAACGCATCATGACTCACATAACGCATTTATACCCCGCCGAAGGCGTTCAACACAAAAACCACTGGCGTTCATTGTGTGGCGATCATGTGACCAAACCATATCACACGCTTGCATAATGAAACCAACGGCCTGGAAGAACTCTGGTTTCCACCATTCGATGCTGTTTTTTCGATACCAGCCCTGCCACCCACCGACCCTCTGCAGTGGAGCCACCATCGACCCTCCAAAAGCCGTTGTGCTTCCTCTAGGCTACCCGGCATGCTGAGACGCATCAGCGGAGTGTATGTATAATGTATGAATTATTGACTGCACGATATGTCCGTATGTTTAAAACGATGTGTACAGTATGTATATATATATATATACTTCCCATTGACCCTGAGTCATCCAAAAGAATGAAAACACCAAAAATTTCGAGATCCGTGGACCCCCGTGGGTTTTCTCACGCACATCTTGGAGAACAACACTGCATGTAGTGGTTGTTCAAGAAACGTCCCAATCCTGCAGTCCTGATCTGGCACTTTGGAGCTCTCATACGTTTCCTCGGAAAGTTCGCGTTGAAGGGTTGCGCCGGCTGAACATAAGAAAATGTACACACATCCCACATAACATGTTCACTTTGTGCAGCTATGTGCAAATCGATCTTTCGAGTTACATCCCCTTGACGCTCATAAATCAATATCCCTAGCCCATTTGCAGCCATGAGATGTTGAATTACCGGCCACCCTGCCTTCCACCACAGGAGGCAAACCCACGGTGAAAACCCTCCGAAAGCCTGCATGTTTGGAGTATCGTCCCGTATCATCCCTTCGTCCTCCCTCTTGGCAGGTCTCAATGAGTGCTTGGACCAGGTCTTCCACACGTTGTGCTGCTTCCACCCTGCTGGCATCCCAGTTTTCACCAGCCAAGATCTCCAGCAGTTCGCTTTTCCTGGGCCGGGGGCCAGGGAGCTGGAAAACCGGCAAGAAATGCCAAAGCCATGTTTAACGTGGCACCTTGAACCATAAACGGCATCATACACGTCAACCAAAAAAAATATATCACAACGTTCAACATACAGTTTCAACGAAATAATCTGTAAAAGCATCCTGTTTTTGGCTTCTGTTGTAGGAACCCACGTTCCCCTTGCTATTTAGTGTCAATTCTGCTGCGTTGGCCCCTCCGGCTGCACACGTTACAACAGTTCGCGTGCGCTGCGCGCGCTGCGGTTTGCATCGCCAGGCGTGGCATGCACTGGCAGCGGCGCTGCCAGCACCTGATCACAGACTGCGCTCAACACCAAAGACTCTAGCAACCTTGTTGCCTATCCGTTTTCCAACCCCCTGCCTGCCATCACGGCCCAGCCCAAACCACTCTGCTTCGGGCCTGCGGGCTGGAGACCATGCAATTCTTTCAAACAAGTGGTCGGTGGCAAGCAAATTGGTTTGGTTCCTGTTTTTACTCGTGTTTCATTAACACAATTGCATATTGGGTGGCACACGGTTGATTGCGATTGAACCCAAACGTATCCAAACGTAGTTTGACACGCCGACCACAAAGAATCGCAATCGTCGTTGAAAAAGTCTGGACAACGTCAAACTCGACTCATGCTAGCACAAAACACAACAAAACACAACACTCAACTGCCAGAACCAAACAATCGATTCTGTTGTGGAAAACCGCCATGAAAACGAAATCGCGCCAGATTGAATTTTTCATCATCTTCACGATCCAACATGCACGTGTTTGTTTTGGAAAAATCCTGCCCATTGAATTGCCAGATGGTTGTGGCCACGACCTGACATAACAACACCACCCTCCGGTGAAACATCGCCCGGATGCCCCCCACCTCTTAAAGGCGCCTTTCGTTGAAACAGCGCCGGCGCTCGTCGCTGTGTCGGCACTGGGCCGAAGTCACGGCAGGCCACCGTTAAACCGCCAAGTTCCGACATGGCGGCAGGTGGAATCCCCATGGCGTCTGTGGCTGGTTTGGTGGTCAAATTCCGTCATGGCACCATGATATACGCTTGCAGCTTCCTGCTCAAGCAGTGGACGGTTGCATGACGCTGCATATGTCTTGTTTAATCGTTGGAAACGTCCATTCTGCTGAACCTGCTGCCCACAAGCATTCACACATCAACAGGTGGCCCCGTAACCACACGCGCGCGCACGCGCACGCGGAATGGATGCAGGACACCGCTCCACAACTGGTTGAAACTCATTTGCCATCAGTTTGTGTCGGAAACATCGGGGTACCACGTTTTTGACAGAATTTTTATGTGCGCCATCCACGCCTAGTGGCGCCGGTCCACTTCACACAGCGGCGGCCCAAGAAGTCGCCAGCCCGACCGCGGCATTATTTAGCACCTTGTTGAGGCCGTGCTGGCAAACCCGCCAACCTTGAACGCCCTCTCTAGCAAGCCGCGTTGGCAAACGCAAGGTCGTGGTCGATGCATCGACAACACTACATGACAAAAACACTACAGGAACGGTCCGATGTGGCAGTGGTCAAATGGTGGTGGCATGGCATCGTGGTGCACACATTCGTGGCAAACGCTCCACTTTGTGCACCCTGGAATGCACGCGCAAAGCATCTCGCGAACCCCGAGCGGACCTGCAAACTTGGTCGCGCGTGCAGGTTTCATCGCGTGTGTGGCACTTTGAAACATGTTTGTCACCCCCATGCCCAAAAGGCGACACCCGCCGCAGTATGCACAAACCCAGGCACGGGAGTTGGGCACGCACAGACCTGCACACTCTAGATGGCTGAGAACTTCGTTGGCTGCCACAAAAATGGGATCCAGAGCGTCAGGAACGGCTGTCCACTCCAATGTTTTGGGTTGTCTAGGGTGGCTTTGCTGACTCAACCCCCACAAAGCCACACACATGGAAGAGCGAATTGCGCCGCAGTTCAAGTACATGTCCTAGATTCCAACACTCCTCTTTCGTTCAGGCATGTATGGCACATCTTGATAGGTTGTCTCGTCATGAAATGCGGGCACCCTGCTGCAAAATGCAGCACTCGTCCGGAAGGTGTCATCCGCAGCCTGTGCATTTGCTCTTCGAGCCTTGAGTTTCGTTTTTCCGCAATCTCCCTGTCTTGAAGAAACTCGGCTAGGCGCTCTTTCATCTTCTCCATGTCTTGCTCGAGTTCTTCTATGTACGTTTCCTTCCGGAAAAGCTCATTTGCTGTTTGCTCAAGTTCTCGCTCGAGTCGAGCATTTGGCACTGACACTTGGGTCTCCTGGTCAACCCTTTCCACTTGCACATTCAGGTCGACCTTCTTGACCCACTTCATGGCCTTCGTGATCTCCTGGATGAAGGCCTTCGTGTCATCTAGGAACTCATGGATGTAGTCCCTGATCCATCTGATCAGGCTCAGGGCCCCGATGCAAGCGAGTGTGCATAGCATCACCCCGATCCGTAGATCCTTGCTCTTTCCGAACTTTTTCATTCCTTGCTTCATTTGATGCTGCTCTTCGATCTCCCGGAACTCCTGCTCACCTACGCGATCACCCACTGCGTCCACCATGTGCAGCATGAACTGTAGGCCTCTCAACCTCTTCTTCGGCAGGTTCTTGGTGCCAATGTCGGCACTGTTGAGGTCTGTTGGGATTGCACCACTGTCAGGACTTTTTCTCGCTCTTTCTGCTGCATCCACAACATTGAGGCATCTAAGTGCCTGACTCTGCCGATGCCTTGCCTTTGGGTCATCCCTGGCCGCTGAGCTGTCCGACCTCGCTTTCATCTGACATTCTCCTCCTGTGAACTTGTTCCACAGGTGTCTCACCAACATGCCCTCCGAGCAGCCTGCAACCAATGCCATGAATTCGCCCTCCCTGACGAGAGGGCGATGGCTTTCTGGCTTCTGACTTTGCTGTCGATGAGGTTGCCATCGATGAATACCTGCATGGGTCGTTGACTTGTGGTCGTTCTTGTTCCCTGCATGGTCTGAGTCAGTGACGACCTCGACTAGATGTTGCTCTGCATCTTCCACCTCCTCAACCTCTCTGAAGTCCATCATCGATTGGCCCTTCCTTCTTTCTTCAAGTCTCACTCCATATCCACCTGTTCCAAAGAGGTAGGAGCAGGTGTGCCAGGCATTCTTCAAAGCATTCTTTGTGGGCTTTGCCATGTGGCGTGCTAGACACTGAATGGCATACTGTGCGTCAGGTCGTTCTCCACCCATATACATCAATCGCCCCACGATGCTTCTGCACTTCGTGATCTCAGCTCCTTCTAGGATTGCAGAGTCGTCTTTCTTCGTGAAGTTGGCATCCAGAAGAGTTTTCCTGTAAAATCTGGAGTATATGTCAACATCTTTCTCGAAGCTGTCATACTGTCTCCTGTCGCACCTGATGTCACGGTGCCTCATGCCCAAATTGAATTGCCTCTTCAAGTAAAAGAACCTGTCACCTTGTCCAAATGGGCCTTTCTCTTCCACGTTCCATTGCTTCTCCTCCTTGAAGTACTGGATCAGTTCCCTCACTTTGTCATCTCGTCCAACTATGAACACATCGTCCACATGGACAGTGAGGTACAGGAGGTTGTTCATCAGCATCAACGTGGGTTGCATCAAATCTTGCTGCATTCCAAAGTCTCTGCACGCAGATGCAAATAGGCCAAACCATTGTGATGCAGCTGTTCTCTGGCCTGGAAGGCATCTGAGTAGTTTGTAGATGCGATCCTCGATTTGGACATAGGCTTTCTCTGTAGCCGGTTGTGCTGCCATCAAAAAGGCGTCTTTGATGTCCAAAGTGACCACCACGAACTCACTCCTCACGTTCAGCAAATAGTGCATCAACATTTTCGGCAGCATCATCATGGATGTAGGAGCGAACGTGGCCTCCAGATCTATGCTGTTTCTGAATTGTCTGGCCACTAGTCGTGCTCTGCGGAACCATCCCCCTTTTTCCAAGCAGTGTTTCCAGCACATCACCATCTTTGTGCTGATGATGTAGCCGTCATTCTGCTCGACTTCGCCTTTACCACTGCAGGCATCTCTAGCATCCTCTGAATCTCTGTGTTGCATGCCTCCTTGTCAAGCAGCTCGAGTTCATCCTCTGTCACCTCTGGGGGATCATCACCTTCTTCTCCTCCGTATCCCATCTGTTGTTCTTCGAACACTTCATCTGGCATCAGCTCCATGTCCACATCCTCATCTCCATGTGGTTCCACTCTAATTGCTCCCACTCCCGCATAGTGCGGAGGATACAGATGGCCTGTATTGTGCGATGGGGACATTCTTGGTGATCCTTCAGCCTCTGTCCTCATTCCATCACCTTTTGGTTGAGGTCCTCCTTCAACTCGGCCTTTCTTCCCCTCGTTCTCCGCAGCTGCCTCCTCTCCTTGTCTCTTCTCTGCATGCTTTCTCGGAGAGTCGGACGCATCGAGTTTCTTGTTCTCTCGTTTGCCTTCACTCTTCTCCTCCTCAGACAGCTGTCTCTTCATTGCAGCCTTTGTCGGTGTCTTTGGAGCCTCAATTGTTGCTGGTCCAGTTGTTGTCAAAGTAATCCCTGGCGTCATCGGCTGGCATCCTGGGGCAGGTGTGACAACCCCAGTAACTCTTGGACTCTTGGGCAATGGCTGTCAGTTCCTCCTCTCTGGCGGCCATCTCCAATGTAGGCTGTCGGTACCTCTGTGCTTGTCCGGCATGCTTCATCAGAATACCCTGTGCTGAATAGTTCCATGGCAGTCCCTTTGCAGTGAGGATCTCCGGGCCGCTGAAGCTGCCCTCCGGTGACAATCTTCGAACAGTCCTTGACTCATAGGCTCCTGTTGTGGAAAGCAACACGTGGTTGTCGTTCCATGGACGCTTTGTCACCCAGACGCCCTTCTCAAACACTGCACTGCCCTTGTTCTTGACTGCACGTTTGAACAGCACACTCTCACCGAATAGAGCCAACTTTCCACGGTAGGGGTGTCCTGTAGCCAGTTCATAACTTGTCCTGCTAACCCCTTCCAACACCCTGAATCTGTTGATCAAGAATGAAGCATGTTTGAATGACCACGGGTAGATGTCAAAGCTACCCTCGATGTTGATGCGGGCCTTGTCTTCCGCATGCCATCGTACAAGACAGTTTGCCATCTTCCTGATTGTTTGCACTGCCCGCTCAACCTGGCCATTTGAGGCGTGTTGCCCAGCTCCCGTGAATCGGATCTCTGTTTTCATGCCAAGCACATTCCTGACCTGTTGCACAAACCTGAGTATTTGTCTGGTTGCCCTCTTGCTGTCAGCCTGTATGATGCATGCGTCCCGAACAGAATTTTCCAGAGCAAATCTGACGATCTCCTCTGTGATGGTCTTGAGGCTTGCACTGCCCGTGCTCGGCACTGGCACTGCGTGGATACCCTTTGTCTCCGAGTTGGTCATCACTAGCACCGTACCGTGCCGGTCTTGCCTCTTAACGACCTTGTCTTGCACTGGCTTCTACGACCGGTCTTCTTCTCCAGTGTAATTACGTGTAGCAGAAGTCGATCTGCATGATGTTCTTTCCAATGTCTTCCTTGTTCTCGGATTTCTCGTGCTTGTCTTCTGTCGAGCGACTTGCTGCTGCTACACATGCTTGGCACCAGGATGCGAATGGCCAATGAGTCACATTGTGTAGCTCTTGTTCAGCCAAGCTTGGGAATTTGGGTTGACCGAGCGTCACTGGTCTCCTCCTCTGCTCGTTGTAGAGCTTGTTAGCCACTGCCAAGTGCATCTGATTCTCAAGGTTCACCTTGAAAGCCATCAGCCTTTCCAGTAACTTCTTCTTGCTTCCAGAGTAGGCCAGTTGTCGCTATTTGCACGCCATCTGAAGCTCCTTTACTGACATCTTTTCTGAGAAGGTGATCTCATCCAGTTCCACCTCATGTGGTCGTTCTGCCACCACCATCTTTTCAACGTCGTGGAACATTTCCTGCGCCTCTAACTCTTCAAGCTCTTCACCTTCGTCCTCTGACCATTCCATGTGTCCGAATATTCCATCTGTCAAAGGGTATGGCGCGACTGGAACTTCACTGCCT